AATTATCTAAGCGATTGACAGATTATCGCACTCTTACAATATACAAGTAAACTAAATAAGCTTAAAGGGTCAATCCCGATAATATGTTGGAGAATAAAACTGCTTAAATTTGTGTTAAAATCCCTTAAAAATCCTCTACCTTAGGGCCGAGCAACTAGCTCAATATTTGTGATACGTTTATAAACAGTTTAAACCCGTCAGCCTTCATCTGGAAATGGAGACCAGTGTTCCAAGCTGTATTGTGCAGTGTCTGGATAAAACCAGACTTTTATTTTATAAAAATAATGCGTAGATGAAATTTACCTTTCGTTATCAAGTACAGCACATGGGTCATTCACTGTATAGACTTCAAAAGTAACGGGAATCGATTATCAGGTCACCCAACGTAAAAACTGACCCAAAATCTTAAAAGGGTTACGTGTCCAGATAAGCATTTTTGACGTTCACGTCCAAATGACTCAATATTTTGAGCTGAAATTTTAATACAAGGTAAATACACCATTCCTCTATATTTTGGCGCTTAAATTTCATACGTACTCGGACTTTTATTTTTGGGACTCTGTTCAAATAGGGATAGTCCCTTTAAATACTGATAAGACATACATGTAAATGTTGAAATCAGCTTAAAATCATGTAAATCTAATTATTGCAAAAACTATCATTACTCATAAATTAAAATGATGTATTACTGAGGAAAAGTCTCGAAGAATATAAAGTGCGTTTTCAAATTTTTCTTAAATAACACCCCAACAATGAACATGTTCTATTATTTTGAGGTAGTTTGTTCCAGAGAAATAATGCGGACATTTCATTGTGCCCCTATAAAGATACAGAGTTTGTCACCTGAAATTGTCAATTACAAGGAACATAAACTATAAACATACTTATGGAAAACAGCTATAGTTTATTTATACCAAGTTACTAAATGCCACTTAAAAATACAAGGAAACAGTGACATACGTAGGGAATTTTTTTAAGTGGGAAGGGGAACGTGTTTAACTCATTGAAATTCGAAGAATGTAGTGTGAAGACTTCTGTCTTACTAATGAATTTTCCAAAAATTACAATCTAAGTTGATTCAGCATTTATTTGACATTGTATTAAATTTTAATCTAATTTACATTACACGCCCATTCAGTGCATAAAAGTGGGATGTCCGAAGCTTCATATTTCATAAATATTAATAAGCTTTGTTAATGTTTTGATATACGAATGATCTCCTATATATATAACCTATTGGTGATAACATGAATACCATGATAATAGCATAATTTATTTTGTACAGGCTTACTGTATTATGTTAAACATACAATTAAGTAAAATGATACGATCGTCTTGATTCGGGCAAACAATAAAAGTGTTGATTTATGTATCTACATTTAATTAGTTCCACCGATACACCGATATGAAGCATTTTGTGTTCAAACAACGAAACTAAAATAATTAAATAAACTCATGGTAGTTTCCCCAGTGTTTATCAAAATGACGCCTCCAATACACAGAATATAAAGAAAAACATTAAAGCATGTCTGATGCGAATGTTACGTGTCTGATCGCATCACATCAGGACATGGGCAGAGAAAAATTTTGGATTCCCAATTTTATTTTAAGGAAACCCTCCCCGGGGGCGTACAGGGAAGTGTGAAAACCCAATATCTTGTATTTACCCAGACAATATTAGGACTGATAAAATCATTTTATTATAAATATGATAATCAGTAGGCTTTGCTATATTTATTTGTATGATCTGCTATATAATATAATAGTTGTGATAGTAATTTTAATATGATAATCAGTATATTCGTTGGAAACGAATTTAAGTTCTAATCAGCGTTATCACATGCATGTATTATTCGCGTGTCATACGGTAAATAACACCTTGTGGGTTTGTGGTTTTTTGGTTTCTGTTTAACAATTCGACTATGGTGACTCACTTTAGAAAACCTATTATTAAGATGTACACTACGATAAATACGATAAAATGATATATTACTAGAATGCCTATATACACATACATGTAGCTATCAATATAAACGTCACGACAAGTCCACAACTCCCCAACTTGTGACTAATTTATTTAATCGGCAAATAGTAATTGAATGAGAATAACACATGGTACAATTAGCCTATAAGGAATACAGGTTTATGGGGTTTTATATCCTCTTAACATTGCACGTAAGAGATAGCGATCTATTTGATGAGCAAATTTTAAGTTCCGTCAAAGGTCACGAGATGTAAACAGGGCTAGCGCTTATCCCAACCCTAACCTGAACCTAGCCCTAACGCTTACCCTAACCTACAATCTCGCCAACAATCATGTGCATTTGGAATTGACTTTTAAGAAAAACTGCAAATGGGACAGTCACGTTAACATTATTTTGACTAAAACGAGTAAAATGATTAATTGTCTTAGGTCTTTAAAACACCGCCTTAATAGAAATACCTTGAAAACTATACCTCTTTTATTCTTCCACATTTTGACTAATGTGACGTAATATGGGATGGCTGCACAGACGAAGTAAAAAATAAATTAGAACACTTACAACTAGATGCATTCAGGACTATATGCGGGGCTGTGATGGGTACCAGTCATAGGTTATTATATGAAGATATACAACTGGCGGTAGTTTTTATTTTGATGTCCATAGCAGTTATATCTCATAACAACCTGTCATGACATCATCATAGGTTGATATATTCGTTCATATCAACCGCTGATGACGTCATCTCAGGTCAATATATTCGGCTCATATCAACCGCTGATGACGTAGATGATCGAAATAATACAAAAAAAACCCACAGAAATAAATTTTTATTCTTTTGACAATTAAAATTTGTTATGGTACAGTTTCTAACATTCAGGACCGAAATAGACGGCGTACTTATCGACATACATGTATTTAGATCGGTTATCCATGTCTAAGACATCTTTCAGAATTTTCTTTTCGTCCACATTGCGATTATTTCTCCACACACTACACGACTTGAAAGTATTTATCGCCCAAGAGTTCCTTTGTAAAGTATTTTTGGGTACAGTCCACTTAAAACAGTCGGTCAAATCCTTCTCTGAACATACCGAAAACCTTCAATCATGGTTAACTGTCAGAATTCTTGGAAAAGAATGCCTTTTGGTCCAAATTTTCTGCAGGCTTTGGATAGATCTTCGTTGATATTTGCATTCACATCTATTCCATCGTCAATATGTTGGCTAAAAAGGATTGATTTTTCGTCTGACTTAGTATTAATATCCATTTTGTTTTTGCTTTCAATTCAATAGTCCAAAATGGAGACGTATAAACAAACACATGCACGTAATTGCACGTAATTACTTCGGTTATTTTCGCTATTTGGCGGAAACTATCGAGCAATTATCCAATCGTTGTTGCCTTTTAATGGAAGAGCCCATTAAATTTAAGGGTGAAATGGCGTTGTATATGTCGGATATAAACCTACTCTCCCTCGGATTGATATGGTAGAGAACGCTTGAAATGGGGTTTAAAGTCCTACTGTTCTGCTCCTACTGGACTAATCAAGACGGGCATACGCCATATATAGTGCGTACTATGAGGAAAAGTTTGCCCGGACATTGGTACTACGGCTTACTCTTATATCGAATTCTAAATGCCAGGGGATCATTTACGTACATGCCAATGTGGACACCAGACCTCGGTATTTCGTCCCATCCCAACTACTGTACGTTGACCGTAGGCTCGCTATCCAGGAGACCCCTTGTTCCATCACTGCTATGGCCGAGAAAGTTCATCGGCATTTTCCAGCGTGGTTCCTCCTGCACCATTGATTGACAAGGAGGAACCACGCCGGAAAATCCCGAGGAACTTTCTCGGCCAACGCAGGGATGGAACACGGGACCACCTAGATAGCAGGCCAACGTCTTATTAACTGAACCACGTTGGGTAGCCAAATGTGGTCTGACATTAAATCAAGTGACGTGGTTTTGATTCCCGCCTTGTACGTGGCAAAAGGAGGGTCGGATCACCTGTTCAACCGTTTTCTTTCGGGTGTTCTGGTTTTCTCCTACTGCTAAGTACCCCTTCGCACAACACAAGAGAATTATTAAAATAAATTGTAAGCATATGTTAGCCCTTTGAAAAGGTTTACGTCAGGCTTTTCAATTCATTTAGTTGAATTTTTTCAATTTTTTAAAATTAGGTGGGTTAAGATGAAATTTGTATCATCAATTAATTGGAATATTGTAAAATAGTACAATTTGTTGACCAGAATAAAGATTGGGACATATTATTCAGTTACAACAAGAGTGGTATTGAGCCTTTAACTGATTACTTTTGTCGAACAACTTTATTCTCTAAATCCTTTATACCTTCTACCATAAAAGAATGGAATAACCTTGATATAAATATTTAAAATTCGACCTCTATAAGTAAATTTAAAACTAATATAACTGATATAGATAAAAATATACCACCTTGTTTCAACTTTGTTAAACGTAAAAATCAAATATTACATAGTCGTCTTCGTCTCTCTTGCAGTGACCTAAATGGGCATAAATTCTTAAGGCATATTTCGGACAGCCACGAGTGTGATAGCGGTCATTCCTTCGAAGATACAGATCATTTTCTTTTACATTGCTCCTTACATTCAGATGCACGCAAAATATCTATAAATCTTTTACCACCGAATTTTATCAATACACATAATCTGTTATACGGTGTAAGCATCAGTCATATTTTGTTTGGACAACTGCGTAGCCAATGTGTAAATATGTATATATAAAATGTTGATGATTAAGTGTTCATTTTATTGTTTTGTTGTTTACTCACTTATTTCTTTTACATATCCATATTAATTCTTGCATTTAGGAGAGAGGTCATATAGGCTAGCCTGTTCCTCAATCCCTTTCAATTTCTGAATAAAATATTGTTTAAAAAAAAACCAAAAAAAAAACCATCATGTGCAGTAACCTTATTTACAGCGACCTTGATGAAAATTGAGTTGGCCTTAACAAATAGATATAACCTATTGACAATACAGTTAAAGGGACACAACTGCATATAAAGCGACCTTTGACATGGTCTCAGACTAGCAATTGTTTGCCCATTGACTTCAATGTTAAATGGCTGTAACATCACAGGCTGTAGCTCTTTGCTCAACATTCCGTTGGTTCTAATCTTTATAGGCACAATGGGGACCACATTTGGCAATCTCCTCATCATAATTTTGTAGGGGGTTGACCGTTTAGATTTTTTGCTACACGGATTTGAAGTTGACTGGGGTGAAAATCTTACTTCCGACACAATGATTGCTCTGCAGAAAGACACTTTACACCCCCTATCCCTCTGCTCTAATATCATCAGTATTACCCAAAACTGCGATGAAATTGCAAATTTGATCCCTTTTCTCCAATTCTAGACCAAAAAGTCAACCCAAAAATGCAGGAAGAGGGGAGAAAAAAATTAAGGGAAAAATTGTCTATTTATAACTCGCACTACATTCGTCCATCATGAAATAAGGGGAAATAATTACTAGTCTTAGTCCACATTGTATGAAATCCGTAGAATAAATGAGACCCCAAACAAGTCATAAGTAATCGATGATTGGATGATAATAATAACAGATTGGATAGATTATTTACATCAATACCAAGTTTATTCATAAAATAATACAATTCCATGACATTAACATGTCAGGGGGGCAGGGGGATTACGGTGGCTAAGTGGGTAAGATGTTGGCTCTCATAGCCTGGAGGTAGAGTGTGCGCACAGGCCCTTGAAGGGATTAAAATAAAACTTCTTACTACTCTTTGACTATATATTACTTATTACTGTAATATATAGTCGAAGAGTAGTAAAAAGTTTTATTTTAATCCCTTCAAGTGCCTGTGGGTGAGCGATCCCTGCATTGGCAGAGAAAGTTCATCCAGATTTTCCGGCGTGGTTCCCCCTTGTCGGTGGTGCAGGACGGAGGGCATGACAGCTGTCTAATCATTCGGATAGGATGAAAAGCCGAGGTCCTGTGTAGCCATTGTCGTACATGTAAAAGATCCAAAGATCCCTTGACAGTTGGAATTCGATATAAGAGTAGGCCGTAGTACTGTTGTCTGGGCAAAATTTCCCTCATAGAACACTGTATGGTGTATGTCCGTCTTCATTAGCCCATTTTGGAGCAGAACAGTAGGACGTTAAACCCCATTTCATTTCATTTTCATTTCATTTCTAAATAATGATAAAACATGCTCAAAGGAAGTCCTTTGAATGACCCACTAATTAATGTGGCTGTAGCAAGATGGACGACATCAGTACAGTAGTGGAACCATTTCTAGATCAACCAGACCTTGACGATTTGAATCAGGCACTTCACCAGGAATGGAAAACACACCAACGCTGGCCCAGGTCGAACGTCTCATTCAGTCAATGGGGAGAGTTTAACAGGAGATCCACAGATCCAGACTGGCAGCGGTTACACCATACATTGACTTTTTTTCGCAGTATTATCGGCTCTATGGACAACTTGAACATAAGCCGAACCAAACATATCTAATCAAACACTAGCACTATATTCAAATATATATTTTTTTTGGTGTATACATTCTTAATTTTGTTAATAAAAATTACACTATCTACATTTTACTGCATGCGGTTCAAAGGTATATATATTTATAATCAAACTAAAAATATTTACTAAGTCAGAAAGAGATTTTGCAGATTCTGAAGTGTAGCATTTTAGGTTATTTTTTGTGTCCTAATTCTAATCTTAAAACTGCAAATGTATTTTGGGGTTAGATTTATTCATAATAAGATTCTGAGACCAATATCTTTGTATAACTTAAGTCAATTGCATGTACATCAGATTATTTTAAAAAAATACATTCATCACATTCAAAGCAAATTATCCCTGAGAATTAATACATATTTGCAACAACCCTCCTACTTTTGCACTGTAGGTGTGATATTCAAAGAAATTGTGAATGCTGTTAGGCCAGTTCCTTGAACTGCTGCTGCAACAAAATCTCTTGACAGAACCACAGATTTATCTGGAACTTGCAAATTTGTCTGAGATTCTCCTTCCCAGAGCAAGGATGGGCATACCTAAACTGTTTATTGGTTTACTTAAACATACATTATGCAAGAGTTAAATCTGCCTATTACAGGTCTTTCTTTGGGCCTGAAATGTTATCTAAATTATTAAGTAGACATTAATTAACTTATCCAGACCATAATCAACTCTCGGTGCCATCATTAGGCTGCGATATTTACTGTATTTGAATACATTTTGTGATGGATTATTTAATGTAATAATGGATGATCAAGACTTTATCATACCAATGTCAGTGATGACAACCGAGATTAGCCTAAAATTGAATGGCTAATATCTCTGTTCAGAGTGAACAATTTGACTGAAATTTTCAGCACATTTTGTTTTCATGATCTATTTTTTAACTATTATAGCGAGAACTTTCAGCTCTTTATCTTACTAATCTAACCTAATGCCCCTTTAATGATGTCAACTGGCAGACTATTCATCTTATTTCATCAGACGACCACAATCATGACCAGTCACATCATTTCTATTAATTCTTTGTTGTATTCATTTCTAATTTTTTCGATGTCATAATGTGAGTTTGTTTTCATTTTGAGTGAAATGTCTTACGGGTTTTGTTTTCGTGCAGTCCTCCAGCGCTTACTTTTAGTTACTGGTTTATGTGAAAATTGTAAAGCTAAGTAACAAAGTTACTATGTTGTGACTGGACATGTGTTTTCATGTTGTCATGCCGACTAAAAGTCTTATCACAAACATTACATTTATATGGTTTTTCTCCTGTGTGTTTTCTCAAATGTAATTTCATATTATCAGCACGCGAAAATTTCTCATCACAAACATCACATGTGTAAGCTTTTTCACTATGACTTCTCATGTGAAAAACTAGCTGTGATTTGATTCGAAACCTTTTACCACAAAATTCACAGATATAATCTTTTGTTTGATCTTTTGGCTGGTGAATGACCATATGTGTTTTAAGTCGAGTACTACATTTAAATTTCTTTCCACAAATTGGACAAAGACGTTGATAGCGTTTCTCATGATCTTGTCTAATATGAATTGTAAGTCGTCTTTTGTTATGGTACACTTTCTCACATTGATCACATTTAAATTCAAGGCCCTCATGAACACTAATGTGATTCTTTAATCCTCTTTGTGTAAGCAACACTTTATCACAAGTAGGATATGTGCACTTGAATGCTCTATTAAAATCATGTGTTTTCTCATGACCTACTAAAATAGATTTATGACTAAACCTCCGTTTACAAACTTTACATTGATGTCGTCTCTGAGAACCAGTTAAATGAGTTACTAAGTGATAGCTTAAGGCCTTTTTAGTTAAATCTTTTTTACCGCACTGTTCACAAGTAAAAACAGCACAATTTTCACCAGTGTGAATTTTAAGATGTTTTTTATACTGAAGGTTGTCTTTAAAGCGTTCATCACAAACTATGCACCTATATAATTCCTTGTCTTTCCATATACCATGCTTTAGCATTACATGCTTTTTTAAATGTACTCTCTTTAAGAATACATCAGAACAAATTTCACACATATAATGGTTAATTTGAGTCTGGACATGCAAATCAAAGAGTGATTTATCATTAAAACCTACACCACATGCACAAGTGTATTTCTTACTAACATTATTTATACCATGGATCTTAAGATGATCATCTAATTCTGAACTTAAACTAAAACTTTGATCACAGATGTCACACAAATACTGATCTCTGTGTTTATCTTCCTTATGTTTAATAATCTCTTCTTCAGAAGTAAAAATATCATCGCACATAACACATGAAAAATGTTGCTTTTCTTTATGTTTTTTCACTTTTTCCACTGATGAAAATGATTCATCACAAATATTGCAATATTTTATATGTATTTTTTTATGTTTCTCCAATTCACTTAAGGAATCATATAAAACCATACAAATTGAACATCTTAATTCATCATGTTTTTGTGTATCATGTTCATTAGGGTTCAATGAGTTAAAGTCATCAGTATTTGTTGCCATGTCAACCCTATCATTATAAAGATGTATTTGTGAGTTATTAACATGTTCTAATTCTTCTGTTTGAGAGTTACCAACACTTTCTAATTGTTGTTTTTGTGAGTTAACAATCCATTTTAATTGTTGTTGTTTTTGTGTGGTGCCATTAGATTTTACTGGCTTTAAAACTTTAACTTTTCCATTAGCAACATCAACAACAATGATAGCTTTATCACCTTTATCCTGTACCCGTAGAATGCTGTTCATATTTTATTGTCAAGTTCTAGTTTTAGATCATGTAACAACAGGGTTTTTAGTCAAGTTATGCACAAAGCATACAAATACTACAGCATGCATGGCTTCACCACATAAACAGAGAACTTTAACCTGTATGATTATTATGATTACTAAAGGCTGTAGTTCAGTTCCGAGTCCCTGAATTACCCTACAAAAAAAGAGACAAAAGACTACTTTAATTGGAAATTACATTCAATTGAATCTCAAGTAGGCCTACTGGTAATAAAGACATGCGGATGGTTATACCTTGGCTATATGGTTTCAGGCTATCCTACATTCAGTTTGTGTATCTCAAAATGTTCATGGTGAACCACACATGTGCTTTTGATAAAGACGTTGCCACGTTTTGCTCCAACGTTAATCTGGGTAAAGTTAGAGCCGTGCTAAGAAACGAGAATTAAAGTAATGGAAAGTTCAATTGTTGGTCTGGAGAACCATGTACAATGTCAATTTCTACATACGGATGGATACCTAAAAACTGTCCAGACAGGCACAGGCTTACCTCAGAACTCTAACTCTTATTAACTGAACGTGTAATTTACTGTAACACAATTGACCTGCGGAGGGACTAGTCAATAAATCTTGAGATTGTTAACATAAATCCTTCTGTCAGCTCGGCGCACTTTCCCCGGTATGTCTTCCGTTGAGAAATTTGTGACGAACAGTTGTGACAAGGGAGATAAGTATAAAAATGCCGTACGGAGGCAGACCACCATTAATTTCCCCATTGACTTCAATGTTAATTCTGGCCTCTTTGCCCACCTCCAACTTTTCCCGACCAGATGAAGGGGCGGGAAGTGCCCCCCCCCCCCTGAAAAAAAATTTTGCCCGTAGGGTTCCTAGAAAATTCTTAAAGTAAACACAAAGTCATGCTTCATTTTATCTTACGCAAGAAACTTTATAAAATACCGTCTCTAGAAAATTCTCAAGACCATTCTTAGTAAGCATAAGTCAAATATGAGTCTAAACACATTGTGACCGGTAAACTGAGACTACGACACTGACTAATAAAACCAATTTTAGAATGCGAATTACGTCATAAATTGGTCGGCTGCTTTGTTTATCAATGACATTAACTTCCCGGCAAATGGTCGACTTATTTGATATGTCCCCTATGCACATATAAAATGTGCCACATGCAAACAGGCCCTGAGTCAGCTTGCTGGCTGCGGAGGGGCAGTGAAGTTTTTAGGGGGGGCAGTCTACAGTAGGTATTTTAGAGCTATGGCCGGCCAAAAAAATTTCGGGGGGGGGGGGGGGGGGTTGCTACGGGCCTGCATGCAAAAGGCTGAATTGCGAGAGCGCCTGATCTTAATGAAAAGAAATAGGATGTCCTACTGTTCTGCTCCTGTCCTGACCGGGCTAATGAAAACGGGGTGTGCACTACGGCCTACTCTTATATCGAATTCCAACTGCCAAAGGGTCTTTTACGTGCACGCCAATGTAAAAGTGTAAAAGAGTACAGATTGAAACGCGATTTGTAAATGAAGATCCGTTATCAGAGTAGCCAACTGTATCTCGTTTCCCTGTAGTCATCGTACGGCGCCTTTCTTTCTGCATGTGGATTTGACTTCATTACTCTGAAATAGGCCGTAAAAATGAAATACGAAAAAAATATCTCAATATACGTTAGAATTACCAGTACAACAGGGACCTCGGGTTTTCGGCCCACCCGAACGACTATACGTTGTCCCCTGCCATGCCCTCTGTTCTGTACCACTAACAAAGGGCAACCACACCGGAAAATATGGATGAACTTTCCCGGTCCAATGCAGAGATCGAACACCCGAACTCCAGGTTAGCGAGCCACCGTCTTAACGTGGCTCCCTGCCTGATCTTAGAGTATCCCGTGTGTTTGTGTTGTTTACTAATTAGCAAAGAAATAAAATGGTTTCGGGGTAGAAGCAAAATTTCCTATAGCATTCTTCTCGAGAATCTATTTCTAAAGGATTTTCTATGTCTTTTAATTGTAAAAAATGCCGTCGAATAACTCTTATTTGAAGCAGAAACAGACTTAAGGTTGGTATAAGCATATGGGACTTGTTTAAAGATTGGCAATGTTAAGAGCACATAAGACGAAAAACCTAAATTGCATGTACTTATAGCCAGTTGTTACTATATAATAATAATGAATTTGTATAGCGCCTTTCATCTAGAACTGTTCTACTCGATGGCGCTGAGCTGCACTGTCACGTTTGGTATTCACAGTTAAATAAGTGAGTCTTCTGGCTTCCTTTAATGTTGCTGGGTGTTTATTCCATTGGATGGGTGCTGCCACTGAAATGCCCTATCACCCAGAGGCGTAGCCGTGAAATATATATTGGGGGGTCCGCAGCCCTAACCCTAACCCTTTTTTAAAACCCCTAAAAAATATAAACAAATACCATGTGGCCATGCTGTCTACACAACTCGTTTGCTCATTGGCCCAGACACCGCGTACAAAGTATTATTGTTACGTGGGTGGCTGAGCGGGCGATAAATATTTGGTTTAGGCGATAATGTTGTTGGGTACCTTCATGCGATTCACTCTGATAAGTGGCAGAAAAAAATTAACAAAATATTACTGACAGGCTAACTAGACACAATTTTATGGAATACAGTTACTTTTCACTTCACACATGTTTCCAGGATGATTCTCTCTGTGTTTTATTTTAGCAATGTAAACCATATTGGGATATGTACAGGTTTTATACAGATAGAATCTTAACTAATCCTAATAATTGTTGTAAATAAATAGGAGTTTGGGCCTACTATGTAAATTTTTTTGGGGTCGTCCAAGTATAATCAGCCCCCCCCCCCCCGAAAATCAGTTGGGGGGTCGGACCCCCCCCCCCCCCATGACACCACATGACACTTTCAAAGTTTTTGGAACAACAAGGTCATGTTTTGATGTTGATCGAGTTGTTCTTTCTCCACTTTTGATTTGTATAAGATCACCCAGGTAGTTAGGAGCAAAACCATGGATGCTCTTGTAAGTGAGGAGGATTATCTTATATTGAATATGTCTGTTTATGGGGAGCCAGTGGAGGGATATGAGCACAGGTGTAATGTGGTCTTGTTCTGGTGATCAGACGTGCATCGGTGTTTTGTATCTTTTGTAGTGAGCAAAGGGAAGAAAGAAGAAGCTGGAAGTCCAATATATATGTGATTAAAGAGTTCACTAACAGTTTAGTTGAATCTGTATTAAAGTATTTTCGTACACGACCGATGTTGAACAGCTGAAAGTTACACGCCTTTGATACCGCTGCAATTTGTTTGGACATATCCATGGTAGTGTTAAACATAACATCCAAATTTCTGGCAGATTCAACAGGGCTGTTATTTTAGAGGTGTAAATTCTCTCTTCGGATATAAAGACTTCGAATGATTCTTCAATTCTTTAATATACCGGAACATAAATATACATATATCGTCATACAGTACTGACAGGCTAATTACTGCACTTAGTAGGGGATCCTAACTAGTGACTGCCTTTAATGTACAAATTGTGTTATATTTAAAATTTTGATACTTCTACCTGGCAACCGTCATTATGACGTCCTTTGGTGTCTCCACAGTGTGCTCAATTTGGCGATTGAGCACCTGATCGGGACCATTCTGTTGATACAAACGACTCGCTCTCCGTCAGGTTGAATGGTTTGGCGGAGTGTTAAAATTGGATACATCGAGGGAGAGAGAGAGAGAGAGAGAGAGAGAGAGAGAGATAGAGATATGGGGATTTAACGTCCACGCGACACACACTAAGTCATTTCGGGACTAACATATGGCTCAATTTTATTTCAATAATTCGCTTGCGCGTAGGGTCTTTAGCAGTGGGAGGAACCTGGAGGACTCGAAGAAAACCCATGAGGTTGGACAGGCGAACACACTCCTTGGCACGTACATCCGGAAAATCGAACCACACCAGTTGACTCGATAACAGACCTTATGATACAGCGCGCACGTGCTAACCATTCGGCCATCCACCCCCACCCCCCCAAACAACATCGAACGTGATATGGTTTGCAAATACTATTTCAAATATAAGCTAAACAGCACTTGCTAATTTTTATTTAAGGCAAGTGCAGGATTTGGAGAATTTTATTATGACCTAAGGGACGTTTCGACGAGGATACACTCGTCTTTATCAAGCCTCTCTCTCTCTCTCTCTCTCTCTCTTAGCAAATTTCAGCACTCTGTCCAACCTTCAACCCGACGAAGGATGAGTTGTTTATAGCAACATAATGGTCCCGACCAGGTGCACAATCACCAAATGAGCACGCAGTGGCGACACCAAACGACTTCATAATGGTGGTTGCTAGGTAGAATGTAAAAATTCTAAATTCGCTGATTTTGATGCTAAACGTGTAAAGCATCAATGAAAAAGACGTTTTTCGTCTAAATAATAGAAATAAGATGAAATAGAATTAAAATTTACAGTGAATAAATAAAGAAATTGGATTATACATTGTCTTAATTTAAAAGTTACATGAATAGAAGTTAGAAATTACATGAATAGAAGTTAAAAAATACATGAACAGAAGTTAGAAGTTAGACGAAATCATTTTAGAATTTTGAATCTAATATACGATTCCAACATGAATAAGGTGACTATCTAATGATGAAACATATGATTTTGAGCCAATGGTCATATACTCTGTTTTGTCAGAGTTCAGTTTAAGACAGTTTGCAGTCATCCATACTCTGATGCTCTCAATGCAGCTTTCCAATTACTGTTGTTATATGCACTTTACGACAAGTTAACATCAATCTGATTAAAATTAAATCAGCTATGTTGATAGTAAATATAGACCTGCCGTAAAAACGACTTTGCCAATTAATCTCCCCAGACCCCAGTGACGTCACAGTGACCAAATGCCTATTATGAATGTTTATTCCTTGGATTATCTATATACAGCCGGCGTGTGTATTCATTAACGCCTGACTACGTAATATTTTTTTTGTAATTTATTTTAATTTAATTTAAATCCAATTTAGAATTTGTTTTATAATGTCCTGCCCTCTCTTCTCACGAACGCGATTTTAAAACTGTGTTTTAAAGTGACTTTTTGATACATTCTGAAGATCTGAGACACGCTACCTGTGGAGAAGTATCTCAGACACAGTCAATAGCCATGATATCCATATCACGTGATCTACACATCACAGGTCATGACATTGACGTCAATGGGTCAGGAGGTCAACAACACGTTACATTGTAAACAATAGGTTTATCTTCAGCATTGTTTCCTTTGCACCCATAAAGACTATATAATTCGTCCAGTCCCAACATCATCTTCCAATGATTCACAAAAATAACATCTACAACTCATAGAATTGACGTCGTCTTCAATGACAGCGTCTGCGAATGGTTGTTCATAGAGGCTGCCATCTTGGCACTATTTTGTGCGTCGGTCGTGTCTATTTCAGATATACTCAATCAATTCTGTCGATGTTTTTAGCGTTGGGATTGACTAATAGTTAATTTATTTCAGTTCTAAAACAAATATTTTAAACTTTAACGCAAATTTAGAAAATAGCCAAATTCTGGCTGGGATTACTGAGCAAAATGTCCATTCACTGTTTACGTGCGAAAAAAAAGCTAGTCACCAATTAATTTTCGTACGTTAGTTACGCACGTTTTTGGAGTCCCTCTACCATCGTGTACAGTCCAAACGATTCGAGATACATTTCTGTCTGAAGAAATGAAATTAAATGGAATGGGGTTTAACATCCTACTGTTCTGCTCCGAACTGATCTAATGAAGGCGGACAAACGCCATACAGGGTGCCATTAGAGAAATTTTGCCCGGACAGCGGCATTACGGCCTACTCTTATATCGAATTCCAACTTTCAAGGGATCTTTTACGTGCACACCAATGTGTACACCGGACCTCGGTTTGTCGTCCCATCCGAACGACTAGACAGCTGTCCTTGTCAGTAAAAGAGTACAGATTAAAACGCGATTTGTAAATGACGATCCGTTATCAGAGTAGCCAACTGTATCCCGTTTTCCTGTAGCCATCGTACGGCGCCTTTCTTTATGAATGTGGATTTGACTTCAATACTCTGAAATAGGCCGTAAAAATGAAATACGAAAAAATATCTCAATATACGTTAGAATTAACACTACAAATAAATTTTGTTGGTAACCATCTAAATCGAATAATAGATTGAGAAGAGGCATCTAACTATCTTTGTGTATTAATAATAATAATTCGACTAAAGTTGCACAGACATGGGGTCATAAATTAATTTACACCTCGATGTGGGATTAAGAATGCTGATTAGGTAATTATCGTTTTAGACGGCCAGATCAAAGGTGGGACGTGTACGTAATACCCCACGAACAAACGAAACAAGTTACGGGGGAACTTTGCTAAAGACATTTCTCCACACCACAACTAATCGTTGAATCGTACACACGTTAATTGTATAGAATAATCAAGTTTTAATGATCAGTTGTTTATAATTATTTTTTACTATCAATTAGCTTTGTTCACCGATGTTTTTGTAATAAAGCAGCCTGGTATTATTTGTTGATTGGCGTTTAGACAACATTTAATTGACTTGATATGAAATCTGAATATAAATTATTCCATAGAAATACGTTTGCGATAAGATTAGGTTATATGTCTAACATCGTTTAACTTCTTTATAAAAAGGGTATTTTACAATTACATTGACAATTTAACCACTCACCAAACGGCATCAGGAACTCCACGATGATCACGTGTATTTGATATTCTTCATGTCCATGAATTCCATCAATTTTCGCGCCAAAATTTAGCCCCATTTATTACGCCCGTAGTATAAGCATGGAACCGTACATGGCAATAAGATTCCTAGAGTTGATTGGCTGAGAAATGAAGGCGATCTATTGTTATGCATAGTCATCGGAAAATTACATATTCGCTGTGAATTTCAAATGGAGTTACGATAACAGTTGTTCTTTGTGTATATAAATGGTTATTAATATTATTATAATTATATATATAGCTAATATTGAATATATCGACAAATGACTGGCACCATTTGTATTTCTGTACTTAAAGGGAATAGTTTGGGATATCAAGTATTACGGGTTTTCCAAATTACCGGAAAATGCGCTAATTGCGCGGGTCGTTTTCATTTTTCACGTAGCCTATTTAAACAACGGACGCTAAAATGGATCTATGGCATGATACGGCATTTTAAATTCACTCTAAAATATTCCAATCACAGATGTCTAATCTACAAAAAAGCAAGACGATATTTCGGTGATCATGATTAGGCTAGTCACATGTTAAGTGGACCGTCAATAGACACTTGTCAACTGGTGGTGTGTATAGACAGTGATAATTGTACAGACAGTGATATATTGTACAGATAATGTATTAATAGTATTATATTATGTGTAGTCCCGGTGACGTCACCAGCCAATCAACCGGATTGAGGTCGTAATTAAGAAATGAAAAGCGTTTTGGTGTGTCGGATTCTTAAACGTAATAGCCGAATTAATTTTAAGGGGGGTTAGTGGGTTGAGTGTCGCGCTTCGACCTTTAGCTAGCCGGTCACCTCTGGCTTGCGGTTGTGGTTTCGTTCCCTATGGCTTGAGCGTATGTGGTTTGGAGATAGGGGCGCCTTCTCATCCTCGTTGGTTTACACCGGGTACATCGGTTTCCTCCTATAGGAAAAACTCCTGCGCGTGCGCTAACAAAAATAAGACAACTTGTCTGCGATATTACCTTCGGTGGAAGCGGACGTTAAACACCAAGAACAATAATTAATTTTAATCAGATTGGCGTGAACTTGCCGTAAAGTGGATATATATATATAGTAACCATTGGCTAACGTACCAAAAAGTTTTTTCGCCCATCTTATGTCCACTTTAAGAACAAAGTTGCGCTTAAGTTTTTCTTTGAACACATAAGAACGTGCTTGCTTATCCTGAAATCTACTTAAAATCTAAGCACAAGAATGTTCTTAAGAATTTTTCTGGGAACACAAGGTAAGTTTACTAAAATGCAAGCCTACTTAAAATCTAAGCACATGAACGTGCTTAAGAATATTCTAGGAATCGGATCCAGATCGCGCAAATGCAACCCCACGACTAGATTAGAAAACTACTAGTACTAGCCTACGTGATAAAAGGCTATAGTATATGATAAAAGGTGCAACTAACTAGTTTGAATTCCAAAATTGACAATGGAATAAATATGCAATGGTCCGAACCCTGTTAGAATGCATCTACTTATCTCCCTTACCGCAACTGTTGTCGCCATCTTTACAAAGAAACTTGAAGGTGTAGGCGCCAACTTGAAGAAAGAAGGTTTTATTCTAACAAATATATTAAAGGTCGATTTATAGGTCAGTCTTTAAAATCAGCACATTCCTCGCATTGAACGAGTGACAAAATACGGTGTAGAGTTCTGAGGTTAGCCAGAACGTAGCTAAAAACGTTGAAATATCCTACACAACTATATGATGTGTTTGTTTTTAGCTCGTAGCTAAGCTAAAAACGTTAAAGTAGCTAAGTCTCTAACTCAATATCATCCAAAATCTTCAACATTGAAAACACAAATTATTTGTCAAATTAAATCAACAGTCATGTTGTGATCTTACCGGAAAAAGATGGGCTTTTTTGATATCCAATATTTAAGACAATAAACATTTTACCATTGGTACACGAATTGTGTCTTCCATAATGCGCTTCAGCCCCAGTTGTATCAAGAGACTCGAGGGACGAGGCTAGACACATTGCACCAAATCAAACGGCGTATGTAGACTGGAATAACCAGTTAAAACGGAAACCATTGAATGTAAATCAGTTTATATACATTCATATTACAGTATTATATGCGTTGTGACCCACTTTTGTCAATTTTTAGGTCCCAAATGTTAGCGATTTAGCTCCTTTAAACTTATGTGCTTGTTTTGGCATTCATGTTTGATGTGACTCTCATTTCTGTGTAGACAAGACCTCAATATTTCATTGTTGTGGCACCACCCCTAACCCTGAAACTTTAGGTTGTAATCTTTAAATACCTGACCCTAATCCTAAACCTAATAAAAAGTAGAAGTTCCATGTGGACACAGTATGAGCAATAGAATGTAAAAGTGATGGAAATAGAAAAGGGAGTTGGATCAAACAAATGTTAGCAATTTAGCTCCTTTAAACTGATGTGCTTGTTTTGGCATTCATGTTTGATGTGACTCTCATTTCTGTGTAGACAAGACCTCAATATTTCATTGTTGTGGCACCACCCCTAACCCTGAAACTTTAGGTTGTAATCTTTAAATACCTGACCCTAATCCTAACCGTAATAGAAAGTAGAAGTTCCATGTGGACACAGTATGATGAGCAATAGAATGTAAAAGTGATGGAAATAGAAAAGGGAGTCGGATCAAACATGATCACCCTTGTTTTTATAGCTACGATTGGGTGCCCTTAGTTTCACCTGGCATACTTAATTTCTTTAATAATGCATGTAAAATGTAACATCTTAAAAATAATGGGTGGGAGTAGATGGCCGAATGGTTAGCTTGTGCACACTGTATGCATATCATAAGGTCTGTCATTGAGTCAACTGGCGTGGTTTCAAATCCCCGGTTGTACGTGACAAGGAGTGGTCTCGCCTGTCCACCTCGTGTGTTTTCTCAGGGTCCTCCGGTTTCCTCCCACTGCTAATGACCCCTACGCGCAAGCGAATTATTGAAAGAAAATTGAACCATACCCGGAATGTTAGTCCGGAAATGACCTAGTTTGTGTCAAGTGGACGTTAAAAACCTCATTTCTCTCTGTCTCTCTCTTAAAAATAAGTCAATTTCATACTATTAAAACTTATTAGACATATCTACTAGGGAAACAACTTTCATTTATCAGCAAATATTGACAATAAAGTACTGGTAAATCAAGCGTTGATAGAGACATTCATAATTACGGTGTATTACTCCTGCGCAACCTCAGATCATGTTAGTACTTTGATTGGCTATTGTACACAAGGCTCCGCCTTTATGTGTTAAAAGACGTCAAATTTAAAATGTTGGAGAAAGCAATCTATATCGCTTCGATTTAAAAAGAGAGGATTTGCACCTGTGTTAGGTAGGATTTTATGCTTAATTGTAGTTGGATGTGGCAGAAATGTTACAAATAATAAGTATCAATCATTGTTTTCAAGAAAAAATTGTCAACTTTGCTTATTTGAAGCTGGATGTGATTAGCGTTGGGGTTCGCAAAAAGAAACTATATAGCTCCATCTCTTATCTCGAAACATGGAGGGTTGAGAGATGAGGTTTCTTATCTAGTTTTTAGTTACCATTGGATGCCCTTAGTCTCATCTGGCGAACTTACTTTCTTTATTAATAATACATGTAACATTTTAAAAAATAAGTTAATTTTATACCTTTAGGACTAATTAAACATCTCAGCCCAATATGTAGTGAAACAACTTTCGTTTATCTGCAAAATATTCTTCATTAAAGTTAATCAAGCAGGTTTTTATAAAAATTGGTAGGGCTATGGGCCTGGGGAGATGCACATGCATAATTATGGTGCATTAGCCATGCGCGAGTCGTAGGTTCTACAGTTCTCAAGTATTTTGATTGGCTATAATTGTACACGACATGGCTATAATTGTACACGACATCGTCTTCATGTTGTAGCCCTACATCATGTCGACGTCAAACCCATTCTGTTTTAAAATTTCGGGCAAAGCCAACTATTATCATTTCGATTTAAAGGAGCTAAAACGCTATTCTTTGACACCTAGAAATGGACACAAATGGGTAGCAACCCATATAATAATGTATTTTGAATGTATATAAACTATAAACTGATTTACATTCAATTGTTTCGGTTTTCTAATCGAAATACACCAAGAGTCTTTGGGGTCTGGTTATTCCAGTCTACACCGGTGGTATTCTCATGTGTAGTACATATGTTTAGCCTCATTCATCGTTGAGTCGCTTCATTGCAAATGGTGCTTGAAAACATTCAGGCACACGATTCATGTGCCAATTTTAAAATGGTCATTTTGTCTTAAATATTGGATATCAGAGAGAGAGAGAAATGGGGTTTAACGTCCACTTGACACAAACTAGGTCATTTCGGGACAAACATATGGTTTAATTTTATTTCAATAATTCAGTTGTGCATAGGGGTCTTTAGCAGTGGGAGGAAACCGGAGGACCCGGAGAAAACCCACGAGGTTGGACAGGCGCCCCTACTCCTTGTCACGTACAACCGGGGATTCGAAACCACGCCAGTCGTCTCAATGACAGACTTTATGACACAGCGCGCGCACGCTAACCATTCAGCCATCCAACTCCCCTTGGATATCAGATTCAGAAGCCCATTTTTTCATGATAAGATAATAACATCAATGTTGATTTAGATTGACCAATACATGTAAGTCGTGTTTGCAATGTCAAAGTTTGTGGATGATAATGAGTTATGGTAGCGATTTGCCTCCTTTGAAAGAGATGGTTTGTACCTGTGTCAGGTTAGATAATTAATTGTATTTGGATGTGGCAGAAGTGTCACAAATAATAATAAAATGTTGTTTTAAGAAAAAATTGACCGTTTTGCTTATTGAAGTATTATCTGATCCGCATCATACTTTGCCAGGTGAAACTATATAGTACCAATCTCTTTTTTGGAGACATGAAGGTCTATGCCTGTATTAGGGGCTCATGACTGATTTCAAAATATTGCCTGCTAACTTAATTATTTCAAGGTATTGCTATCAACTTTAATTCACATCTCATTTGTTTGGCACTAACATTTTCAAAAACTGAGCAAGCTGTTGCAGTTGCACCGTCCTACTCCAAAAACTATACTAAAAAATCGATTCTTTACCGTAATTGGTGGAATCAACTGAATTTATTTTCAAACTAAATTAAACTATTCTCCTCTTTTTTTTTTGTAGGTTTTATTGTTGCACATAAAAAAGACCCAAGATTGTCAGTGGTTTCTTGATTAAATGGAATTTCATTGAAAATTACTTTAAAGGTATGCAGAAAGTTTAGAGAAAGTACATGGTATTGCAGCTTGTAGTGTACCATTTGGAAATGGTTTGTACATAACTTGACTAAAACTGTATCACATTCTAGTTGATGTTGCTTTGGGAAAGTAAAACTTTTAAAAGTCAGTAAAAGCTATTGGAATCTCACTAAATCAACAGAAATTGAAACTGTTCATAACTCGCACAAAAAAACAACAACAATTAGCATGGCAACAAATACTGATGACTCTAACTCAATGAACCCTACTGAATATCAAGAGCAAAAACAAAAAGTGTTTAGATGTTCAATTTGTATGATTTTATATGATACCTCAGCTGAATTAGTGAAACATAAGAAAATACACACGAAACATTGCACTATTTGTGATGAATCATTTTCATCAGTGGAAAAAGTGAAAAAACATAAAGAAAAGCAACATTTTTCATGTGTTATGTGCGATGATATTTTTACTTCTGAAGAAGAGATTATTAAACATAAGGAAGATAAACACAGAGATCAGTATTTGTGTGACATCTGTGATCAAAGTTTTAGTTTAAGTTCAGAATTAGATGATCATCTTAAGACCCATGGTATAAATAATGTGTGTAAAAAATACACTTGTGCATGTGGTGTAGGTTTTAATGATAAATCACTTTATGATTTGCATGTCCAGACTCAAATTAACCATTTTAAGTGTGATTTGTGTTCTGATATTATCTTAAACAGAGTAGATTTAAGAAAACATGTAGTGCTAAAGCATAGCAAATGGAAAAATGAAGAATTATATACTTGTGTAGTTTGTGATCAAAAGTTTGAATGGATATCTAATTATACAAGACATCTTAAAATTCACACAGGTGAAGACTGTGCTGATTTTACTTGTAAACAGTGTGGTAAAAAATATGTGCACAAAAAACATTTAAGCTCACATGTATTATCTCATTTAACTGGTTCTGATAGACCATATCAATGTAAAATGTGTAATCAAAGGTTTAATCTTAAGCGCTGTTTAGTAGGCCATGAGAAAACCCATGATTCTAATAGAGCATTCAAGTGCATATACCCTACTTGTGATAAAGTGTTTCTTACACAAAGGGGTGTAAGTAATCACATTAGTATTCATGAGGGCCTTGAATTTAAATGTGATCAATGTGAGAAAGTGTACCATAACAAAAGACGACTTACAATTCATATTAGACAAGATCATGAGAAACGATATCAACGTATTTGTCCAGTTTGTGGAAAGAAATTCAAATGTAGTACTCGACTTAAAACACATATGGTCATTCACCAGCCAAAAGATCAACCAAAAGATTATATCTGTGAATTTTGTGGCAAAGGATTTCGAATCAAATCACAGCTAGTTTTTCACATGAGAAGTCATAGTGAAAAAGCTTACACATGTGATGTTTGTGATGAGAAATTTTCGCGTGCTGATAATATGAAATTACATTTGAGAAAACACACAGGAGAAAAACCATATAAATGTAATGTTTGTGATAAGACTTTTAGTCGGCATGACAACATGAAAAAACATGTCCAATCACAACATGGTTAGAGATTGTATGTTCAACTTTGTTACTTAGCTTTACAATTTTCACATAAACCAGTAACTAAAAGTAAGCGCTGGAGGACTGCACGAAAACAAAACCCATAAGACATTTCACTCTAAATGAAAACAAACTCACAGTAAAACATTGTCAAACTTAGAAATGAATGCAACAATGAATTAATAGAAATGATGTGACTGGGCATGATTGTGGTCGTTTGATGAAGTGTGTTTCTCGATGGCAATAATCTGCCAGTTGACATCATTAAGTAAGCTAATATGCATTTTTGATACACCCATTCTTAGTTTGGGTAGGAGAATCGCAGAAAAATTTGCGAGTTCCAGGTCAAACTTTGGTTCTGTTAAGAGATTTTGTTGTGTTCACAATATCTTTGGATATCACAGCTAGGCTGATACTGAGCAACAGTTCAAAAGTAGGAGGGTTGTTGCAAATATATATTAATTCTCAGGGATAAATTGCTTTAAATGTGATAAATGTATTTAGATATAATTTGTTCATGCAAATATTATCCAATGACTATATATACAAAGATACACAAAACTATACATTATTTGTAGTTCTTTTTTCAAAACTTTTATATTTTTGTGTATTTATTACCTAAGAGTAGTTATCTTTAACTTTTCATATATAATACTGAGATGCAATGAAAAGGCACCAATTGGAATTCTTATGATTTGACAGATACACTTTACTTGCACTTCTAAATGTAACAACAACAAATCAATACTATGAAACAGTGTCCACTTAAGATCGACCAAAGCCTTCACAGTAATGCTTCAACAAGACCAACACATTGTCTGCTGCCAGCTTCCCGGAGTGTGTGCCATACAGTCTTCAGTATAATGTTCAAGCTCCTACAGCATGCGTCTCCATGGACTTCTTGAACTAAAACAACATGGCACTGCTTGAATGGCCAGCTCTTTCTCATTAACTCTCACTATAGCGACTTTGTGGGACAATATAGGACAGGTCCTTAACTGCAAACGAGAGTGGAGAAGGAACCTAGTCAGCCATTCAGAGGCTTCTCCATGCTGTGATGTTGTCTGTTGTGTGTGGCTGCTGGAGGTGGACATATACTTCACTGACTTGGCTTTTACTGCTATGTTCTACTTATCAACAATATTTTATGGCCTCTGTGTGATGTTGTTCATCTTCTTGTGTACCTTCAGTGACATCCAGTGCATTTTCGGTATAGATCTCAGAATCCTATTATAAATGAATGGATGTAAACAACCATTGCTTTATGGAAAAAAAAAACCATCCTGTAAGACAAAAAAAAATCTACTTGCAGTTCCAAAGATTACCTTGAATAATGCAATTAAGAATATTTAATATCTTTTTTTATTGTTTTAGATGTGTAGAAAGTTCAATTTCTAGTAACAGCATGTATATATTATGGTAACCTTAAAGGTGCATTATGTAAGAATTAGATAAAGACCTGGTCATTCATGCTAAAATAGTTCAAAAATAGACAATTTCAAATTAATATACATATTTCGTTCAAATTAATCATTTCTGAGTGAATTTATCAGACTTTGAAGTGTTCACCATTATCAAGTAGCATTATTATCATGATAATAAACAAAGTTTCAATTATCTATTTTTAAATTAAATGATTATGGTGATCATGTTTCAGTCCAATGGATGGTCAAAAGAGTTGATCATGGGTTTTTCATATGTACACAGATACCTCATTATTAAAATATATCAAATTTGAGCCCAATAGAAGACCTGCAATCGGCAGATTTAGCTCTTACATAATGCATCTGAAATATAAACCCTAATGAAAAGAAAGCTTAAACCAATGTATAAATGTGTATATTTTTGGTAGGGATATTTTTAAATTAAATTATACTGAAATGTTCATGTTATTGGATTGTATTATTTTATGATTAAACATGCTATTGGTGTAAATATTTTTCCTGATGTCGTGGTCCCTGTTTGTCCGCCCATTCACATTTTGTTTGTGGACACTACAGGTCACAATTTTTATCCGTTCTTAACGAAAATTGAAACATAGGTTCCTTTTGAAATTGGCATGTACTTAATGGATTATGGCCCCTGATTGTACGAAAAATCATGTGTTTAGCTTGTAAACAATCTAGAGGTCACAATTTTTATACTCCTACATTGAAATGTGGTCGTATATTGTCGTCGCCCCCGTCCGCCGGTCCGGCATCCACAATTGCTTGTGGACGCTCTAGAGGCTAAAATTAATATCCGATTGACTGCAGATTTATACACAGTGTTTAAGGTCATGAGACAAAGAAGTCTATTCATTTGTAGCGATTTCCGATAATTACTGCCCTTGATAACTTTGAAAAATCTTGTGGACTCTCTAGAGGCTAAAGTTAATATCCGATGTACTTTTAATCTATACACTGTGTTTAAGGTCATGAGACGAAGAAGTCTATTCATTTTCAGTGATTTTCGATAATTACTATCAGAGTTATGGCCCTTGATCACTTCAAAAAATCTTGTAGACGCTCTAGAGGCCAAAGTTAATATCCGATTGACTTAAAATTTATACACAGTGTTTAAGGTCTTAAGATGAACAAGTATATTGATTTTCAATGAATTTTTATGACGTGAACAGCTAAATCCATGATGTTAAAAATTTTGTATACTAAATGTTAGCATGGGGCTGAACTTGATAAAAACGGAACAAATTCTAATGGTTTTCTGATAATTAGTTAATGAGTTGTTACTTTTAATCAGATTTTAATGTATTATAAATGTTTCATTACCGAAAAAAGTAAAAATTTGCGTCAACTCTTATTGACTGCCTGGACGATTTAGCTGCTGTGGGCGTATGTTTCGTTGTCTGGCAACCTATTTTTATCCAGTTTTGATGAAACTTGAAATGTATGTTTATAACCCAAAGATCTTGGTTCCCTTCGATATTCACGCATATCGGACTGTGACTTCCTGGATTATGGCCCCTAATTGTACGAACAATCATGTTTTTAGCTTGTGGCCTGCTAGAGGTCACAATTTTTATCCGATTTAAAAAACGTTTATAACACTGTTACATCATAATGGGGGTTGAGCTCCAATTTCGTGAAAATCGGACCAAAACTGCTTGAGAAAATTTTCGCAGAAATATTGATATTTTGCATAGATTGAGAAATAAAATGAATGATGCAAAAGTGTAATGAATTGGGGTTTAACGTCCTACTTTACCTAGCTAAATGAAGATGGGCATACACCATGCTAAGTTTGGACAGTGACTGACTGAAGTTGGTTCTTTATTGTCTCCTTCCACTAAAGTGATATTGCAATCTCAGGACAGTGGCGCTATGGCTTACTCTTATTTCAAATTTTAACTCATCATAAAGTGTAACCCCTTTGGAAAATCTTGAAGTCGGTGTCTCGGCCAACACCAGGATACAACCCCAGACCTCCAGGTTTGCGAGCCAGCCCAATACTGACTGAGCCACTGTGGCTGCCAATGAATGAGAGAAACGGAGGTTAACGTCCACTCGACAAAAAAATAGGTCATTTTGGGACTAATACATGGTTCAATTTTAATTTATCAATTCGCTTGTGCCTAGGGATCAGTAGCTGTTGGAGTACCCAGGAATTTCAAACAGTGTTCCACAATGGATTCTAAAATCTTATGACACTTGTAGAATACTCTAGAGAATGTACCATAATGACTAGAGGCGTTTTTACGAGAAAACAAATCGGTTTTGATTACCTATCTCGTTTTGTACAAAGGAATAGGTCTCGAGTTGGTATTCGAATTGGTTCTCGTAAACGCGATGAGTTGCCTCGCAAGATGGCTGAAGACTGAAGAATTGAGGAAAAATGTTAAAAAAATTAACTTTTCTTTATTATGTTCTTGGCGACACCGCCCAAAAATAAAAACGAAAAGTTGTACCAGTTGACTGTCCCCAAATGCCCAGTATTTTTTATTAGGAATGTCCATAATATTCATATTTTAATGTGAAATTCAAAAGAAAATGATTTAACGTCTGCACATCGTGTCCCTTGTTGGGGACGCCATCTTTGGAAATCGAATCGTCAATCCGGCAGGCGAGCACGTTTGGAAGATTTGCATAATCGATTTGGCAAATCGTGGTAAATACGACAATTAGGTGAAACCGATTAGGCTAATTTTTGCCGTAAATGTGTTTGAAAGGAAATGCAAATCGATTAGCCCTAATCGGTTCCTCGTAAAAACGCCTATAGTATATACATAAATTTTACAAGTTATCTCTGGCAAATACACATAAGTGAACAAATGTTTTATTGTAAATGTGTTTATTAGAAGAGTGAATTGACTACAGCAAATAAATGACTGGATAATTCTAAAATAAAATGTTACCATGTATTGCATGTCTAAATAAGGACTGGTGTCAACTGTTACAGCCAATGGAATGGCATCAGATAATAATTGACCAACCACAACAAAGCTAAAGATAGAAAATTTATCACATGATCATCACAACACAACCTGATTGGTCAATCATTAGAATGGAATGTTGAGAGCCCTCTGGTGGTAAAATTGAGCCAGTTCGTTGATCCAGTATTTCTTTTATAGACAAACTAATGATAAACAAACAAAATAAATCTCATTTGAGTGGTTTATGCAAATCTGAATTTTTGATAATTTCACTGTCATCCCAAAAGAAAATTTGACCAAAATAATTCATAATCTTTTACCTTAAAATGCTCATTTTACTTCTAAAATGAGAAACTAAATGGCATTGATGGGGGTTTCTTAAACACATACCTATACTTAATATCAAAATGGAAACATGGTACTAGTACAATTAATTTCTTAATAATAATTATTACAAATAATATATATCATAGTTAATTAAGTAGGCTGGAAAAAAAATAGCAACCCATAATGTTAAAAAATTTATCTTTCAAAACTTTAAAATAACTTTAAATATTGAGAACATCTTTTGCTAAAGTGACACCTCCAGAGCTCGATTCCTGGAAAAATCTTAGGTTTGTACCTTATGCTTAGGTTATTGGTATGATTGCTTCAATGCTATACCAGGATAAAAATAATAGATTGATTATTTTTTGCTGGTAAAATGTTACTAAAATCTAAGATTTCCAGTAACCGAGCCCTGGCTTTTCTTTTGAACAGCTTCAAGGGGGGGAAAAATGATTTGTTCATATAAAATAAAATATTTAAAGTTATTAAAGAAGTTTATATATAAATTAACCAAAGTATGAAATTAATATGTTCTTAAGAGTATACTGACTATATGAATAGTGTATTTGCTATCACTATATATATATATATATGTATATATATATCAACCATTACACTGAACACATATTAAACATTAATATTACAACACTAATAATAAAAGCTGGCAATATACACATTCAAATTACTAGACCTTAATTTCAGTAGCCAGATCTCAAATTTAAAAAATTACGGTTTTGATTGCTTGGCAGTCTTAATAAACCAGCCATTTAATAAAATCTACTAAACAAATGCAAAACCCCACCGTTATGGGCAGCAATTTAGTTGTGAACTAAACACGGTTATTTTTGTAAATAGATATCCCAATTACATTTCAAAGATTTGTTATTGTTGAGCAGAGATCTTATCAATTAGCTAATGATATTTGAAGTCAAATATCTTGATTAAAAACTATAAAAGTTGTTAGAAACATCCAGCGTAATATTTCTACCAGAGAAAAAATTTGTAATATAAATAAGAAAAAAAGAGAAAAAAATGTACATATACTTACTTTGACAAATTTCACCAAAAATACCAGATAACATTTAATTAGTAATTGCTTGACTACAATATTATAGTATCATTCCATCCGAATACATATACAATATATGACATGATTAATATAATAATAATAAACATATATGTGCACATTACAAGTGCATTCAGTGAATGTAGCAATATACAATGAAGGTGGGGAGAGTCATTTTACAATAATAAATGACTTTTCGCCAACTTGCTAAAATACAATTCAACAAGCATATTTTACCATTATATTTCAATTAGTTAACACAACTTCAATAAGTTTTCAATTGTTGAAAATATTAAAAGAAAAGTTATCTCGACTTTAATGGAAGGAAGAGTTATTTCCCTTCTTTCTAGCTTGTCATTTTAAATTATTAAATGTAAGTTTTGAGTACAAGCAATCACATATTTCTAAGGGAGAAGGGGTAGTGATATATTTTTAAAATATCTCCTTTTCAGTTTAATTACTCTTTTTTTAAAATATCAAACACAAGATGAATTCAATCTGTCTGTATGGATAACATATATTTTGATTCAATAAAAATTGTGTAAAAATCGATTAAAATGTCGCCCTTGAGAAGCTAAATATGCAACATTTAAAATAAACAAACATATTTACACATTAATTTATCAATCCAAAGTAATCAAATTTTGAAACTGCTTTCAAATGTTTACAAGTAAAAAACATCCTTGTGTTGTCTGTTCTAGAGCGTGTTGACAATTTACACTTGTGGCATTTTACATAATCTAGGACCAAAATAATAATAATAGTTAATTTTATCACTGGAGCAATACAGACAAGAAACTAATATCAAATGATGGCCACAAGCATTTACAAAATGAATCTTTAAAAAATCTACCCACAATGCACATTTCTGCATAACAACAAGCATGATTATGTGGCGATTTCAAAATATCTATATGTTGGATTTTCGTAGCCATTCATCTGCATATTGGCTACATGTCGTTCCTCTGGGGAGGCAGCAGGATCTACTTCAACATAACCATGGGTAACTGTCTGTCTGCTTCCTCTTCGGCGTAACATTACTATGGCAACAACAATAATGACAAAGATTGAGACACTACCAATGGCGATACCAAAAGTACTTCCTACTTTGTTGGTAGCAACGGCAGACACCACATTCATTTCCTGAAACAATGAAATATGTGTGATGACTTAATGTAATGTAACATGTCTACATACACCAAGAAGTATATTATATATAACAGGTGAAAAGATAAAGCTTGGCACTCAAGATCATCAATGAAACACAAGTTAACCAGCTGACATAATTATGAAGTGAGAGCCCTGCATCGATGTCAAGATTGTACAATTCAAGTTTTCGCCTCAGTGGTTCTAAAGTTTCTTCCCAAGCGAAATAATGATACATTTATACAATTTTCCTGGGGCACCCCATTTGCCATCACACAATATTTTAATCATTTTCCATTCACTGGACAACAAAATATTCCGTAGGCTATAATCATATGAAAGGTAGGTTGCCAGGCAATGAAACATACGCCCACAGCAGCTATATCGTCCGAGCAGTCAACAAGAGGTGTCGCATATTTTTACTTTTTTTGGTATTGAAACATTTATAATACATTAAAATCTGATTAAGAGTAACAACTCATTAAGTTGTTACTCTTTATCAGAAAACCATTAGAATTTGTTTGGTTTTTATAAAGTTCTGCCCCATGCTAACACTTAGTATACAAAGCTTTTAATATCATGGATCTAGCTGTTCAAGCCATAAAGATTCATGGATAATCAATATACTTGTTTGTCTCAAGACCTTAAACTCTGTGTATCAATCTTAAGTCAATCGGATGATAACTTTAGCCTCTAGAGCGTCCACAAGATTTTTCAAAGTGATCAAGGGCCATAACTCTGGCAGTAATTATCTGAAGTCGCTGAAAATCATATGGCTTCTTCGTCTCATGACTTTAAATATAAATTTAAAGTCAATCGGATATTAACTTTAGCATCTTGAGCTTCCACAATTTTTCAAAGTGATCAAGGGCAATAACTCTGGCAGTAATTATCTGAAATCCCTGAAAAGCAATAGGCTTCTTCGTCTCATGACCTTAAACACTGTGTATAAATTTAAAGTCAATCGGATATTAACTTTAGCCTCTAGAGCGTCCACAAGATTTTTCAAAATGAACAAGTGCCATAACTCTGGCGAAAATTATCGGAAATCGCTGAAAATCAATAGGCTTCTTCGTCTCATGACCTTAAACACTGTGTATAAATTTAAAGTCAATCGGATATTAACTTTGACCTTTAGAGCCTCCACAAGATTTTTTGTAGTGATCAAGGGCGATAACTCTAGCAGTATTTATCGAAAACCGCTGAAAATCAATAGGCTTCTTCGTCTCATGACCTTAAACACTATGTATAAATTTATACGGACGGACAGGCGGGCGGACGGGGGCGACAACAATATACGACCACATTTCAATGTGGGCATATAAAAATGTATCCACCAGTTTAATATTTCTCTGTTTAACAAACTACTTTGCGGGTAAAATGGCACTTGCTCACGCATAACGAACTTGGTTCATTTTGGGGGGAAAAACAAGCCACATCGGCAATAACATTGCGACCATGCCTGCATTGCGTATTTTAAAATACTGTTGTATAAAGACATGTAATTTTGTAGGAATAATACTGACATAAATTTTTATACCGTATGGGAATTAAGTATGCAGAATAGCGAGGTGCACTTATTTTTTGTATTCAGGCATCATATGCTACATAACATAAAAATATTTGTAGTTCAAGACTCTTCTTTGAATTTTATAAGTGCCTTTCATATGAACATGCTAAACTGTTTGTTTTGTTCATCAGCATGGTTACTGATACATATCCTTTCTTGTATCAAACCTGAATCTTACTTACCTGATCAATACCAACAGTATCATCTCGAGCATTAGCCTGGAAATGATATTCATGTTCATTTTCACTTGTTTCACTGTTTCCATCATATTCATCCAATACAGATGTTGGTTGCTGGCTTTCATTGGTAATAACAACAGCTGAAATTACAATTATATAATCATGAATTATGCTTCAACATGAATTAGAAATGTCAAACTAAAAACAACTATAATACCAATATAAGAGAATAAATTATGATTCATGGGAGTTGAGTAGTCTAAGATATGCCCTAACTTTTCAGCACCAATCTTATTAAGACTTTGCACACTTGTTCCATGTGTAAAATAACCCAGAGGACACATAACTGTCCGACAGGAGGTGTAAGCGGAAAGAAAAAAACTATTTATAGCAAACGAGAAGATTTCCCTGACCTAGATCAGTTCTTGAATAAATTATGACGCCCTACACACTGTTCAAGTCATCCACAATAAACAATCATGGCCACCTCTAGCAATAGTTTCACACTGGATCAACGCTCACGCTGTCGTTTGCCAAAGTTGCAATTTTGCGATAAAAGTATGAAAGTGGCGGTTAAAATTTGATTTTGGCGATAACGTTTTGCGGTACTGGCGATTCTTTTTGAGAACTAGCGGAAAAAAATCTTAAAATTCTAATCGTATATTAACTATTACAATTACATTGAGTGTCAATCACGTGCCGGCAGATTTTATAAATTAATCAACTGGCTGATAATTTAGTAATACTAATCAGTTGTCTTAGATTCATGATTAGTTGATTGATAATATATAATTGTCAATGATATATATAAAAGCCTATCTCAAGTCATTATTTCCTCCTAATGATAAATCCAAGCGGTGATATTTGATGTTTCGTTTCGTCTTTAACAAAAATTTCCGACAGTTCTTTTCAACGAGAATGAAATATTTTGATAGTTGAATTTCGTTTACATAAGAACGGGTTATATAGCCAAAATGCTGTAAAAGTGAACGACACATATAATTCTAAGCATCTCATATACAAATATAATTGAAACTTAAATCATTCTATCAGGGATTCAGATTCTGATACCTTTACGGTACCTGAAAATAACAATAGGCCTATTGTACAAGCAAAACATAAATTTATATTGTGTATTGTATTGTATATATTCGGTAATTATTTCTACCAGAGACATAAAACTGTTACATGTTGTCTTTTTTATCACACATTTTTGGCAGATAAAATATTCCAGTTGGCGGAAAAAAATATGAACCCTTTTTTTTATATAAAAATTATCATCCATTTTGGCGGGAAAAAAATGAAAGCCAGCGTGAGCCCTGTACTGGATTACTGACGTCTATCTATATATGACATCAGAAGGAATTATCCAGGTCTACCATCTATCGCGACTGGAACTTGGCTGATTATTTTTTTTGATGATCGAAGTCAGACTACCATTTTTGAATGTATAAAATGATTTTGAAATCGGCGGAGTAGTGCACTTAAGTAAATATTTACTTTTTACATCTGAATTGTTGTATTTCAAAACTTGTTGTGGACGTATTCAAAGAATTTACCAGAAATCACAAAATCTTGTTTGAAGGTAAATAATCAACAAAGATTTTAAAATACTTTAGTTGATATTTTATAATGTATTTGGTGTCAAAATGTTGAGTTTAACCTCTACTTTCGATCCATGGCAGGGATTATCGATATCTCTGTTTAGCATGTACTAATAGAGTTTCCAAGAAAACTCATCGTTTTTTGACGTTTCCATGGATACCAGACAAACTACAGCCTATAGCCTAAAATGGTTCTGTGGCTTTTTTGGAATTGCAATTAGAATTGTTTGTGACAAATTGGATGAAAATGGTTCTGTGGCTTTTTGGGGATTGCAATTAGAATTGTTTGTGATAAATTGGATGAAAATCCATAAAGACATAACTCAGAAAATTTGACTTTTGTTGTCATCAGCACCCTTTATATTATCATGCTTTTAGGCCAAGTTTCGAACATAGATTGTAAATAAAATTGGCATTTTTTTAGTGATTGATATGTAGTTTATCACCCCAAATAACAAAATATGTCATATCTTATCAACAAAAAAATACAGTGCTAGTAGCTTTAAAATGTGCTCAACGCCCTTAACATGAATTAAAATCAGATATATATTCTCTTGTTGAAAGAGATGTATCTCTTTGCCAAAGATTATTATTTGAACATATGGAGTGAAACCAAAGTTTGGACAACTTTTAATGGTAATTAAAGAGGTTTATATTCCTCTGCATTAATCAAATATAGCAATTCAAAAGATCTTAACTGTTGAAAAATAAAGCAGTCACACCCAAATATTGCAAACAGAAAACACACTTACTTTCTTCATCACCTTTAGTTGTTTTAGCAATAATTTCAGTTTTTGGTGGTCCCATTACGATGTTCAAGATGCTCTGATCAACAGCTCGATAACGTTGACGGAATTTCTCTGAAAGATTAAAGAACAATTTCTTGGTTATTGACACAAGGATACCATAGATTGTCTTAAATGAATTTAAACAGAATACAGACAGCAACACAAACAGAACAGGATGTCATCATTTTGCAAGAGATGGATAGAGAAAAAGCTAAAAAAATAAAAAATAAAATGAGTTTTTTTGTACAATCAGGGGCCACAATCCAGGAAGTTATGGCCAGAAATGCGCAAATATCGAAAGGAACTGTGATCTTTAGTTCATCAAAATCGGATAAAAATTGTGACCTCGAGGTCCACAACCTTGGTATTACATACTTTTACACTATTTGCATTCAAGGAGCAGCCAAATGCATGAAGCATTACATTTTATTTTGTAAAAGAGTTAACTTACCGATTTCAGGGAGAAGTTTACGTTGCATATCTGGGAATTTTGCTAACATTGTCATTGTTTGGTTCAGTCTCTGTGTGATGAGATCTAGATGTTCCTGCATGTGAGGGTACATTTCTTTTGCTTCTTCTTTATTGGTGTAGACAGTATGTTCATAATGATTAACTGTATGCATCCTATCTTTCTCTTCAGCACGGATGTACGCTTTGAGGTATTTCAATATTTTGTGAGCCTATAAAAATAGATACCAATTACACTCTCAATATTTATCGATAACATCAATGAAAATCAACAATGTAAATGTGATCACGTTTAAAAATCCTTTCAGAATGACCAGATATGGAATTATGCTAGATTCCCGGACATTTTTCTGATCAACTGTCCAAATGTCACTAAGAATCAACACACATCATTTGGCAACAACATTTTTATTCAGTTTTGATCCCTACATTTGAAACAACATCTTAACCTACAAATATATCTACAAACACCAAAATAAGCTACCCCCAACAAGATTTCTCTTGTTTAGGGTTCACAAAATATTCATGTCAGTCACTTTCTTGATATAAAGAAATGGAAGGAATAAAAGCTTTTCAATATTCTAACACATGGATTATCTACGTCTTTGATAATTCTATATATAACAATACTTACATCTTGTTTTTGTAAAGCTGCGATATATTTATCCATGGCAACACGTTTACGATTATTAAGATCTGTTTGGATGTGTTGTTGATGTAGAGCAATAAGTTGAACTTTCTCTGCAGCTCCTTCTTGTTGATAAGATTTATACAATCTCTTAAATCTCTGAAAAATTTACATTCAATTTATTCAACATGAATAAAACTGGGCTATTAACAATATTTAAACATACATTATGCAAGAGCTAAATCTGCCAATTGCAGGTATTTCTTTAGGCCTGAAATGTTATCTAAATTATTAATTAGACATTAATTAACTTATACAGACCATAATCAACTCTCGATGCCATCGCCAGCCTGTGATATTTAGCGGATTGGAATACATCTTTTAAAAAATAATTAAACGTAAAAATGGATAATCAAGACTTTGCTTTTTATCCTACCGACTTTAGTAATGATGATCGAAGCTAGCCTAAAATTCAAAAGCTAATATCTTGGTTCAGAGTGGAGCAATTTGACTGCAATTTTCAGCATATTCTATTTACATCATCTATTTTAACTATCATAGCGAGAACTGTCAACTCTTTTATCTTATTTCCCATACTATCCCTTTAATTTTCAAACCCATTTAGTATTTATTTTTAAACTATAATACAGCAAATAGGTTTCAGGGTTAATTGTATGTCGAAGCTGGTGGAAACTTTATTAAGTGATCTATCCACCGGATAGTCAGTAACTCTGCTATCATGATAGTTTATTAAAGTCATGTAATAAATAACACTCTATCAGGCTCTCCAGACAGATTCGACAGTATATAATAAATTATTCATTGTGAGATGGAACTGAAGACATCAGCATAATTTGAGAATAATAATCATATAAAACTCGCCCAGTAATATACGTGCATAAGTGGAAGTAAATTTGAACATTTCCAGAGGTATAGACTTCAAGATAAATCAAACAAATTTAAATAGCATGGTCTTAAAGGATGCAGTGGCTCAGTGTGTAGGGTTTGGTCGAGACAGGTACTCAGAATTTCCTCTTGTCAGTCGAATAGGACGCAGGGTATGGCAAGGAACTCAATCTAGTCATTCAGATGAAAATAAAAACAGAGGTCCTGTGTGCATCTTGACATAGAGTAAAAGAGAGAGAGAGAAATGGGGTTTATCATCCACTCAACACAAACTAGGTCATTCTGGGACTAACATATGGTTCAATTTTATTTCAATAATTTGCTTGCGGTAGGGCTCTTTAGCAGTGGGTGGAAACCAGAGGACCCAGAGAAAACCCACGAGGTTGAACAGGCAACCCTACTCCTTTTCACATACAACCGGGGAATCGAAACCACATCAGTTGACTCAATGACAGACCTTGTGATACAGTGCCATCAACCCCCCCCCCCCTACTGTTAAAGAACCCTTGACATTTGGAAAGTAAGCCCTCACATCACATTGTATGGTGTATGTCCTTCATTAGCCTGGTCCATGCAGAAACGTCAGACAGTAAGCTCAAATTCATTTCATTCAACAGATACTTTTGGGTTACTTTGCTTTAAGTTTAATGGAATGGAATTACCTTAGTCTCTCAAGGTAAATAGAAAATGTGTACAACCAGTACTAGAAAGTGGGCTCTACTGTCGACTTACAAGCAACCAAATACATGTAATTGAAAATGCATTAAATAATAATCTACCTCAGTAATTTCCTTTTCTAGTTTATCACCTGATTTGTAATCAGTTTTTCGGAGTTCAGCGATGTGATCTCGGGCAGCTTGCCATTCTTTCATTAACTGAAATGCACCAATATTAAAGTAGATTTAAACACAGGCAACACCTTTAGAAACAACAAACACTACAGATCTGACTTCAAACGGAAATATAATTAGTTTAATTACATGAAATTGAATACAATGTGAGAACTTGTTTATTTATTCATGTGTTTAACATTCCAGACTAAAAGGCAGACCATACATGTTAAAACACAGTCTTACCAAAAAGTATTTTGGTCCATATGTTATTAAAACTGACCATTTTTAACATAAGTTATGTGATTTAAAGTGAATTCTATTGATTTCACGTTGTCATCTTTATTGTCTTAGAACAGTCTGTTAACGACCATAGTAGAACATACTTCTATCAATGAAAGTGGAAGTCAAGATTGTATCTAACCTTGGTTGTTTATTTTTAATTGTCTAAATTAGTACTTGAAGAACCATTCTCAGCTCTTAATTTTGTTTAAATTAATTTAGCAAAATGATTATTGGCTAACTAGCATATTGTATTGAACTTTATTTGTGAAAACAGTAGACAGATATACAATACGGTAAATCGACTTTACATAAAACCTTTCTGATCAAAAGTATTGTTCTCAAATGGATGAATGCACTTTTTTTACTCTGCTGATGACTAAAGACCTTTTATGTATCTGCACCGTAATAATAATTTGTGTCCACATAGTTAATTAAAGTTCTGTAAACTGTAATCTTCTGTTAAGTTATTAATATAACGCTTTGATATTCATGTGCCCTTCCACAAAATTTGTCTTCATAACTTCAAACCTAGAATGAAATTTCACTGGCACTTAATTATCCTACCTTTGTCCAACTGGATTATTTTTGGAATATTCGGAAAACAATCCTACAGTTTACCCAAAGTTAAAGTCTTTTAACATTGAGAAAATTGATTATTTGTCACATATTTTTTAAAAACATATTCCTACTTACTTTGGTCATCTTTTCTTCTTGTTGCTTTTTCATATCTTTACGTGCTTTGATAAATATTTGATGTTCGTTTTTACCAGATTTAGGTTTTCCCATGTTGAGGTAGGCATGGTATGCATCAGTATTATCATCTGATGTAATGGCTGGATAATCATCTTCAGCCGATTCGTTAGAATCATCCTCATCCTCATAGATGATAGTTTTATCAGTTTTTTTCTTCTTCTCAAGATCATCTGAAAGTACAAAAATATACAGACATCTATAAAGAATGAATTCATTTATAACATTTAAAAGATCAAATGACAAATATTCAACAATTTTCTTTGAGATCTAGTCTTTTATAAAATACATACATATACACTTTATATATAGTATACATTACAGAAATTTCACATAAAAGAATTTTCAAAAATAGTTTAAATTCCTTCATATTTTTTGCTGTTTATATACTGTGTATTAACAAAGGACCTACATCTTCACTTAAATAACCTTTAAGGAAAATGTATGTTCATGACACAATTACAAATGTCAGTAACACACATAAAGTTGTTTGTTGGAACATAGTTACCTCAAATACAATAATTACATTATGTATGTTTATAATCATGGCAACATAAAATACAATCAATTTCGTGTACTGCAGCTTATATATGTACTTTTCTTTTAGCAAAATCAATCAATCAATTTCGTGTACAGCAGCTTACATGTACTTTTCTTTTAGCAAAATCAATCAACTCCATTTGAATGAAGATTCAAACAAAATCACTTAAATTGAAGTATTATTTTTATTGAGCACACTCAAATAGGAAGTTCTTATTTAGTGTTTAAAAGAGATAATAATTATCTAAAACAAATTACATTGATTACCTCCTAAACCTACGGAAATAATTAAAAAATATCAAGAATAAAGCAAGTGGGTTGTAAAAAGAATGGATTTTATGTAGTAACTTGGTTTCAGATCTTTTTGCTGGTCTATAAAACGTAAATAAGATGTATTAAAAGGTGGTCAAGCGTATCATTTCCACCTAAATTATCATCTGCTTCGTATAATAACTGTATCAATAACCTTTTATAACGACACACACTGAAAATACAAAATGGCTGCCTCCATGCTGCAAGTATCTATTGCCATGGATATTGATCAATAGATATAGCCACCAGCAGTTACCAGACATTCTGAGCTGTATGGAATATAGGATAAAGCAATGTGTCCTGGGAAGATTAGCAATAAGCATGAAAAGAATTTTCTCGGTTCCATTGATTAAAAAGCTTTACACAAAAACCAGATACATGAAATGTCTTTTATGGAGAGATTATTCTATCTTTGTTTTATCAATAGGATATATATACCCTTTTGGTTTGGATATATATTTCTTTTGACAATTTTTTGGCTGCGAATAACCCAGTAAAATTCTACCTGATCCAACTAAAACATTGAAAATTTAATCAATTTCAGGGAATAGCCAGAAAAAATGCTAATAAAGACTTTAAGATTCTGCAACACAATCAAAGGTATACCCCTTACAAAATATAATGCTAGGTCACAATTTAGTTCAGTAGATCAATTTTAACCTAAGTTTGGGCCATTTGAAGTTTCTATTGATCACACTGTCTGTGATGCTTTGAAATGTATTTAATTTAATTTCTATCTGTTAACAACCAAGTAGAGATTATTTAACCTACATTGTTTAGTTTTAAATACAACTTTTTGATTTAATCTTGAAAATATTACTTTTCATCCTTCCTTTTGGTTAACTTAAATAATTCAAATCTGTAATCTTCACGTTTGACTGTTTAAATGTCTTTAATGTGTTGTTACTTTTAATCTTTCTAACTGAACAACAACAATTTTAACTGGTATTGTACGTTAAATATATCGACACAAATGGGAAGTGCATAAAAAATTGTCTCTGTCATTCGTTCATCAGTTCATTTACACCCGTTCAAAATGTTTTGGTTTTTTTATTTTTTTTATTTCAGGAAAGCAAAGTGGTAACAAAAATAAAATAAACCTCATGGACGCTTCATGTTGAGCTAATCAGACTTTATTCCTATCATTTATAGTCAGTTCTCAACATCAAATAGTTTATGATGAACCAGTAAAAATTCTTAATACCCATCTTCAAACAGAAAGAGAAGCTTTTAGTTGGCTTGTGTTAAATTGATGTTGAGAATTTTAACATGGTTGTAACATTGATAAAATGGAGTTGAAGTTTTTTAAAGAGAGATGCCGAGAATGACTTCTGTTATTTAAGACCTAAACAGAATTGAACTGCAATTTCTAGAATATTCTTCAAACTAACTCAGCAGACAGTGAGTAAATAAAATGGTGTCAACCACCAAGATATTGTAAATGGATGAAGATTAATGCTTTGTCCACACAATATAACAATACTTTCATCACTTTGAGACTAACCTATACTTTTTTGTTTCTATGGTTACTAGTGTGTGGGAGAGACACCAACTGCAAAGAGTTCTTTTATGCGCATGCCAAAGCATACATGAGTGGACCCTGGTTTATCGTCCTTTTTGAACAAATAAACACAATTATCTTGTCAATCCCACAGTTTCAAACCCAGATCAAACCAGTGAGAGCCTGACTTAATTTCTCAATGGTTCTTCTAAATGCATTCAGAGATTCAAGATGAAATGAAATGCGATGCGATTTAATGTCCTACTGTTCTGATTTGACTGGGCTAAGGAAGACTATGGCTTAATTGAATTCCAACTGCCAAGGGATCTTCTACGTGCATGCCAATATGTACACGGACCCATTTTTCGTTCCATCGAAACAACTATACATTGTTCCTTGCCGACAAGAGGGAACCACGCCGTAAAATCCTGTTGAACTTTCTAGACCAACGCAGTGATCGAACATGGGACCTCCAGACTAGCGAGCCAACGTCTTACTCATCGAGCCATTCAGAGATTCAAACCACACTGGTTGACTTTACAAATACATGTATGGACCAATAGTCCTAATATGTCTCTTTTGGAGATGTGGATTAATAATCCAAGATCTTTCAAAATTTTATTTTAAAATATACATTTATTAGGTGATTTTTTTAAATCTCATAAATAAAATGTCTCTTTAATCATATTTTTCTCATTAACCACTTTTAAAAGATTATTTTGCACACCTGTTAACCTGACCTTGTAAGTCTTGTTTTTTATTTACATTTCTCAGGTATCTCTTCATACAAAAGTAGGAGAGGTTTGATAAAACTATTATAATAGACACAATTTGTCCTCATCAATTTCCACTAAAATATTCCCTAGACACCGGTGTTTGCTTCCGACAACATATTTTTCCAACTAATCTTCACCCACTCGATGACAAAATCAAAATGGAATCATCATTGATTTTATAATACAAGGTCTATCGCCTTCAACACAAGTTTCCATTTTTAGTGCCATAATGAAAGATCTGTGAACTCTATCATAAAAACAGCATCACATAATTGTGGAGATTCCAAAAAAGAATCTTATTTTCTGCTAAATTTTATTTTCAAATTGTTTTTCACCACATCAATGTCAATAAAACCTACAGTATGTCAAGATTCACAACTGTTAATTCTTGTTTTTTGACCTAACCTTTTTCCTCACATCACAATTAATTATATAAACTAATATGTACATTACGTTTTAACTCTAAAACATATTTGTTAACAACTTTTATTAAATTGTAATTCTATTAAATATCTTTCCAGTCACATGTACCATTATACACTACATAATTATAGAGGTATTTATCTTCCAAAAATCTACTTGCTGAACTGTCCACTTTCCCCTAGTGTAGGAGAACTGCACCAGAGAGGAGAAACTTGTGCAAAGCACACATACAACAGAAATACACTGTAGGTAATAAATGATAAGGGTATCAAGCCAGTGAATGGATCTGGAAGATGGCCGTAAGCATCTACTGCAAAGAAGGCCTTTAAACTCCATTTTATTTTTAAAAAATCTTTATGTCCACTTTGGTATAAGTCCCCAGTCTGCAGAAAGACAGACTTCCCTTAAAATTTAAACACAGAAAGTCTGTTTTGCGTGTAAAATTATTGCTATATATACATGTAACATAAGAGATAAGAGTTGCTTTAAGACCTGGTTATCCTGAGTGTCAGTCTAGTGACATGTCCCTGGTCTACATGTACATGTACCTAGTGTTTTCAAGATTTGTCAATATTGAGATGATTGGAAACCTGTGGGATGTGAATGAAAGAAGTTAAAAGTTTCTATTTATAAGATTAGGAAATACACCAGACAAAAAATAGGTTATAGACATATACAGAGAGGAAATGAGAAATAACACCATGTTAAAACAATCAGTATAAACACTATGAGGAAAAGGTCAACATTTAATAGAAATAATGTATGAAAATTACAATAATTATTTGAGTCACACCCTAGAGCCTAAATAATATTTCATGTTGTAAGTAATAATTAATCTTCTCAACAAATTTTTATATGGTCATAATGGTACATGACAATAGCATTTTAATCTCCCACCACCCTTTTCCAATAATAAAAAAGATCCAACGATTTTGCAACAAACAAGCATATAAAGACAAGCTTACGCAATGCAGTGCACTGAGGGAAACTTTGCCTGTGTAGCTGCATCTTCCCCAACAATTCATCCAATTCCAACTGTCAATGGTTCTTTTACGTGCACATAGAACCTTAATTGTTCATCCCCTCCTAACAACTAGAGATCCCAACAGTTAAATATACTAGCATTATTGCCTACATAAAGAAAACATATTTCTGAAATCTTTATAATAAATTATAATTTCCATATCCTGTTTTAAAAAATCTGAAAATGATTAATAGACGTAAATCAACTCCACATGACATAGACTAAAATACATGTATATTTTGCACAATAAATTCCAACAAGAATGCAGTCAGTGTATAACAAGAATAATTTCGTTAATTCAATCTAGGAGCTATACATAAAGAACAATTTGTATTCTGGTAGCAGATTATTTTAATGATTACATTAGCCAGGGTGAACCTGCAACAGTATATATTATATAGCTCATAAAATCAATGGCTGGGAGGAGAAACTATTCTTTATGTAACACCATTCAAACCACAGTGTTTCAACAGCTGTATTTTACCAGATACACAACAACAATCTAAGTTAATTAAACACATAAATTGTTTTATTATCACATAAAATGGACAGCTGTTATTCTTGAGAAATGCTAAAACAACTTGTATCATTTCACTT